TTAGAACCGGGCTGACCCGCGTCAAGCTGAGAAGTGCTGAGCTCTTGAGCACAGCGTTGTGTTGATGCCTCTAATCAGAGGCTACCTGGTGCATCATCATTCTCCTAAAAAGGCTGTCAAGCTACCTCCTACTCGGTGTGAAGTACACCGTGTAGTGGTCAAACGAGCCCAAACTCTCCAAGGTCCTCTTAGAACCGCCTGAACCCACGCACTCTACTGGTGCTTCACTTTCTAATGCAGGGCCTTTCTTCATAACACTTGACAAATATACCCTGCACCTCCATCTCTGGAAAAAAGCGTACTCAGTGGCCAGTCACCTAGCAACCGCTGCTTGAATTTGCAAAAAGAAAATCTGTTGATTGAGGTTTTAGTTGCTTTAATGTCTTATTTGTTTGTTTCAATCAAACAAACTAAAGCTGCAGTGAATTTTCCACACTGCCAGCCGTTTCCTGATCACTAAAGCCCTTCGCTGTCAGCGTTTCTCACCGTTTTTACTGTTTTTTTAAGAGTGACAGAACGTTGCGCGCTAGGATGATGTCAACGCCAAAGCAACCAAAACAAAGAGGAGACTCACCTCTTACATCAGGAAGAATCCTCGCGTTATCCGTTCTTTCATGATCCGTTGTTGAATTGTGATCGGCAGAAGCATTTTGGGATCGCACCTCACTGTTTTTACACAAACGGCCCAAAACGATCTCCTAACACATGGATGTTCTGCTTCCTGATCACGTGACGTGTGACGTACACGGATGAAGATCGGCTTCAGAGCTGAGATGTTTGTTCTCATGGTGCGGGCGCCCGTTCCGACGCCCACACAGTAAAAAAATGCAAATGACGACTTTAGTTAATGATGAGCTCAGTTGAATACGTGACCGAAGCAAAGGCTCTAAATCATCAGTGAAGCTGAGCTCGTGAATGCTCGGTCTCAAACCAGCTGAGTGTTAAAAGTTTTCAAAGACCAAAGGAGTCTAAAGTACATGAGCACACGACGCTAGTGCACACTAAAACAGGTGGTTCCTTGGGGCTGCCTGATGGTGCACGGTTGGCTCGCAGTGAGAAGGTTGCAGGTTCAAATCCTAGCTGCAGCCTGCATGTTTTCCCCGTGTGGGTTTTCTCTGGTGCTCTGGTTGAGAAAATGGTTGAAAGTAATTGATTGAGTAATCATTTTAACATAGTTGATGGGAGCCCTAATGCAAAAATCGACTGTAGTAATAAGTGGATAAACATTTGAAATGAAGTAGATTTTATATTGATGCGTTTGGGTTTATTTGTATGGAACACAAATGTATTCAAAATTCAATACATAAATAAGACACAATGAAATAAATAGAATTTTATGTAAAATCTAAGCTCAATATAATGAAATATTTTTCATACTTTTAAAATGTCTTTATTAATATAATGTTTTATCAAAAGTAATTTTTTCATAATATCCTAATTAATATTGAGCCATTTTTATTTAATTCATTCAGTTTTTATTACATAACGTCTTTTTAACAAAGACAGCTTTTATTTCATAATAGTGTTTTTTCCCATGGCTGATTTATTTCATAATGAGACTTTACAGCAGAACGTCTCAGTCCGTCAGTCAAGACTAACGGGGTGGAAGAAGAAGAAGAAGAAGAAAATATCATTTCTATAGCGCCTCTCAAGATAAAAAATCACGAGGCGCTTCACAAAAACAAAAAATGTAAAAATATAAAAAAGCATTTAGAAAATGATTAAAAATATATATAAAATGTGCAAAAATAGACAATTGGGATTTAAAAGAAAAAATGTAAAGAAAGAGAGAGAGTGAATAGGAAAGAGGGAAATCAGTGGATCCTGAGGAAGGTGGAATAGGTGGGGAGAGCAGAATAAAGAGAGAGGGGTTGAAGAAGGTCATACAAAAGCCAGCTTGAACAAGTGAGTCTTCAGCTGCTTTTTAAAGGAGACCACTGAGTCCACTGATCTCAGGCTCAGGGGGAGAGAGTTCCAGAGTCTGGGGGCCACAGCAGCAAATGATCTGTCACCTCTGACCTTTAGCCTGGTGCTGCACAACCAGTAGGCTTTGATCACTGGACCTCAGGGACCTGCTGGGGGTGTAGGGACTAAGAAGATCACCAATGTAAGATGGTGCTTGTCCATGTAAGGCCCTATAGACCAGAACCAGGATCTTGAAATGAACCCTGAAGTTGACTGGCAGCCAGTGAAGCTGGAGGAGAAGCGGGGTGATGTGGGTGTGTTTGGAGGACTTGGTCAGAAGCCGAGCACAGGCATTCTGAACCACCTGTAGACGGTTCAGGGAGGTTCTGCTCAGACACGTGAAAAGAGAGTTACAGTAGTCTAAGCGTGAGGAGATGAAGCCAGTGTGTCATTGGCTGCTAATTCAGTCAGACAAAAGCAATCACTCACAGAGTGTCGTTACAGTAGTCTAAGCGTGAGGAGATGAAGCCAGTGTGTCATTGGCTGCTAATTCAGTCAGACAAAAGCAATCACTCACAGAGTGTCAAACCAAATGCTTCAAAAATGTCATCCAAACAACTCAAAATATTGTCTACTGACAAACTATTCAACTATTTGATTCGCCAAAGAAAACAGAGCTTAACTAAGTTCAGGCAACGCCGCCATCTTTCATGACCATTGACCTAGGAAGTTGTTCCATGGAACTACCTTAAACTGTCCGGTCATGTACGGTGAGCAGAAATCCAGGAAAACCAAACGATATTGAAGGATTAACCAGTGGTGTTGCAGGTCACACCCACTGGCTTGACTGACGGACTGAGACGTTCTGCTGTAAAGTCTCATTATGAAATAATCAGCCATGGGAAAAAACATTATTATGAAATAAAAGCCGTCTTTGTTAAAAAGACGTTATGTAATAAAAACTGAATTAATTAAATAATAATGGCTCTATATTAATTTGGATTCTTATGAAAAAACTACTTTTGAAAAAAACATTATGTTAATAAAGACATGGTGCAGCAGCAGCTCAGGTGGTAGAGCGGGTTGCCTCATGATCGGAGGGTCATGGGTACGATTCCAGCTCCCGCCAGGGGTATCCTGCCGTTGTGTCCTTGGGCAAGGCACTTCACCCAACTTGCCTGTGTTAGTGGTGGTCAGAGGGGCCGACGGCACCAAATGGCAGCCTCGCCTCTGTCAGACCTCCCCAGGGCAGCTGTGGCTACAAGTAGCTTACCATCACTAGCAGTGTGTGAATGTGAGAGTGTGTGAAAGCGTCTTTGGGTGTCTAGAAAAGCGCTATATAAGTTCAATGCATTATTATTTTAAAAGAAGTATGAAAATATTTCATAATATTGAGCTTAGAATTTACATGACATGCTGTAATTTCATCATTTCATTGTCAGATTACACGATTGTCTGGTATTTCTTCATAATGTCTTATTTATTCATTGAATTTTGAATATTTTTGAGTTCCATATGTTTGGGCCTAAATAATTAGTTTTCTACACGTTTATTTCCTCCGTGCTTTAATGCAAACTCCAGGTCCAACCAAAACAAAGCCACTGACGCAGTTACACTGAAGAAATGCTTCATCTACACGTGTACCTTGTATTTTACACCTACACGCTGTAATACAAGGACATATTAGAAATATAACTTACTTTTCATTAAGGAAAATTAAATGTGTCTAAAGATTTTTGCCTTCATACGCAATAAGTAACATTCTTTAGCAGCTGCATGAGAAACAGCATAAAAGGGTCTAATAAAACTGTCGCTTCCTTGCTGGATGTCATGTTTAAGGTGTTTGTAGTGTGCAGGAGGTCTTTCAGCGTTGAGAGGTCACTCACATTAGAGGGCATAGTGAAGCCTGTCATCTGGACTTGGAGCAGACCTCGGAGCAGACTCCTCCATGATGAAAGCTCTCGGGGGACTTGGTTACCACGTTTGGAGTCAGTTTAAGAGCGTTACACAGCATGGCACAGCAGTGGTTTAGATGCGGAACGGCTGTAAAATATTCTCCCTACAGACTCGGTTATTGTGAAGCAGCATAGTCATCGTCACACACCGGTGAAATTACGTCTCCACATTTGACCCATCACCGTGGAGAGCGGTGAGCTGCAGCGTTGGGACTATTTGTTGGTTTAACCCCCAATCCAACCCCCTAAAGCTGAGTGTCAAGCAGGGAGGCATTGGGTCCCGTTTTTTAAAGTCTTTGGTATGACCCGACCGGGATTTGAACTCCAGTCTCCCAGGGGCGCCTCCAGAAAAATTTGAAAGGGGTGGCCAGATGGGGCCAAAGAAATTTTTGGTGTGGCACACCAAATTGGTCTTTGTGGTAACTTTCGGACAATTTAGACCTGTGGCGATGTGCTGCATTGCGCCTTTAATCGTTTTGATTAAAATAACAGTACGTATCCAAAACATTTTACTTAAATCTTACAAACACAAACATTTCAGAAATATACATTTCAGTTATTTAAAATGTTATCCCAAATTTAATTTAAAGGTGTATTTTTTTAGGTAAATTCACCTGTTTTTTTTGTTCACACACAAAAAAAAAATAAAACTATGGGGATAAAAACTTTTTAAAATGGTGAGCAGCAGAAACATGTGTTTTTTTATTGTGATTATTTCTTTACTCATTAATTATAATATTTTTATTTAGTTTTACAATTGTCTTTAATAAACAAGATTAATATATGGTTTGACTGAACATTAATATGATTTGTTAACACTGGCTTTTCCTGGGGGGGCCAGCAATTTTCTAGGGGTGTCCATGGCCACCCCTTGGGGGCGCCCTTGCAACCTCCCATTCCCAGGGTGGGCACTCTACCACTAGGTTACCATCTATCTCTACGATGGTGTAGATCTGATGGTCTCACCAAGCATTTCATCATGTTGGGGACAGGTACCTGAAGCCACCTGCTCCTTGATTCTGATAGCTTCACCCGCTTCATCAACAGAGGCTGCTTTTTATTATTTTGGAGGTAAACTGTGGAACAAAACCTGCTCCGGGTCAGAAACATGCTGACTGTCCTTCTCTCTCCTTCTCTCAGATCGTGAGGACCAATCAATCCTTTGCACGTGAGTACTCTCCTGTGTCCTCTGCTCTACTCTTAAGGTCATTTCTCAGGTATGATGTAAGTTGTTCTGATCATGTAGCGGGACAACAAACCGCTAAATCAAACTGTCTACAGGTAAAGATTATGGATCTCCATGCTTTAATAGACTCTGGGACTCAAGACCAACCGTAGCAAAAGCTTTAGCTCTGCAGGTTGGTGTAGCCACACTCCATTGTGTCCTCAGCAGGTCTACCATTGGTTGTAAGAATTTTAGGCTGGGCCAATCACAAACATCTATGTTTGGGAGTCATTGGGTGGGCTGTGTCTGCTCAGACTCTTTGAAACAGCATGAACTCTGGACGATTTAGACTTGGACTTTTCTTTGAGACATGAACAGATGGAGGTACTTGAGTCATTCATTTAAAAAAAGGGATGTATTTGCTTTTTCTTCGACTGTGTATGGCATACTGCCCCATTGACTGTTTTCCTTAGCGATGAATACATCACGTTGTTCGTTTCTCTGATTGGTCCTAATGCTGGCTACTTGAGTGACAAAGAGACTTGATTCTAGTCCTTGAACTGAAACTCAGTGATGTTGAGAGGGCTTGATAAAGACCATGCCTCTTGCCTTTCCTGCCTCCTTTAAATGTGTTTTCCTCATTTCTTTTATCATTCCGAATCCTTTTTCCATTTCTTGTGATGGTTCTGTCATCATGAGTCACTTGCCCAACTCCCATCCTCCTGCTGTATTTTATTTAAGGACTAGTTACAAATAGCTTTTTGCGGATGCTGAGATGTAAAGCGGCGCTGCCAAATGCTGAGAGAGTTATGAGTGTGGTTTTGGTGGCCTGCCCTCATCCTTTACGTCAGAAAGTAATTAAATGCCACTCTCTGCATGGCTTAGATCTGAGGATACCATCCAAACATACACATACTCACACCCCCTGTGTGTTACAGTCAGACAGTTTTCTACGTTTCTTTAGAGGACGATGTTTTTAATGATAAAGTGAAATGATCATCATAAATGTGTAGGTTTTAAATGAGAGAAGCTCGTTTGGTGAGATCATCATGCTACAGGGAATGTTTGTTGGTTTAAGTGGTCGAACAGAGGACTTTACAGTCATTCAGTCGGCTGTGAAAGTAGCTCCTAAAAACATGTCTTCGTCTTCTTCGTCTTCGTCTTCCTCCGCTTATCCGGGTCCGGGTCGCGGGGGCAGCATCCCAATTAGGGAGCTCCAGGCCGTCCTCTCCCCGGCCTTGTCCACCAGCTCCTCCGGCAGGACCCCAAGGCGTTCCCGGACCATATTGGAGATGTAACCTCTCCAACGTGTCCTGGGTCGACCCGGGGGCCTTCTGCCGGCAGGACATGCCCGAAACACCTCCCCGGGGAGGCGTCCAGGAGGCATCCTGACCAGATGCCCAAACCACCTCAACTGGCTCCTTTCGATCCGGAGGAGCAGCGGTTCTACTCCGAGTCCCTCCCGAATGTCCGAGCTCCTCACCCTATCTCTAAGGCTGAGCCCGGCCACCCTACGGAGGAAACTCATTTCGGCCGCTTGTATCCGCGATCTTGTTCTTTCGGTCATTACCCAAAGCTCATGACCATAGGTGAGGATTGGGACGTAGATCGACCGGTAAATCGAGAGCCTGGCTTTCTGGCTCAGCTCCCTCTTCCCCACGACAGATCGGCTCAGCGTCCGCATCACTGCAGACGCCGAACCAATCCGCCTGTCGATCTCCCGATCCCTCCTACCCTCACTCGTGAACAAGACCCCGAGATACTTAAACTCCTCCACTTGAGGTAGGACCTCTCCCCCGACCCGGAGGTGGCAAGCCACCCTTTTCCGGTCGAGAACCATGGTCTCAGATTTGGAGGTGCTGATCCTCATCCCAGCCGCTTCACATTCGGCCGCGAACCTACCCAGCAAGAGCTGAAGGTCAGAGCTGGATGAAGCTAGGAGGACCACATCATCCGCAAAAAGCAGAGACGAGATTCTCCTGCCACCAAACTCGACACACTCCACTCTGCTGCCTCCGGAGACCCACAGACCAGCCACGCCCTGTAGGCCTCCTTCTTCAGCCTGACGGCTCCCCGAACCTCTGGTGTCCACCAGCGGGTACGGGGGTTGCCACCACGACTGGCACCGGCCACCTTACGACCACAGCTAGCAACAGCCGCCTCGACAATCGCAGAGTGGAACAAGGCCCACTCGGACTCAATGTCCCCCACTGCTCTCGGGACGTGGTCAAAGCTCTGCCGGAGGTGGGAGTTGAAGACCGTCTTGACAGGTTCTTCTGCCAGGCGTTCCCAGCAGACCCTCACTATGCGTTTGGGTCTGCCAGGTCTACGCGGCATGTTCCCTTGCCATCTGATCCAACTCACCACCAGGTGGTGATCAGTTGACAGCTCTGCCCCTCTCTTCACTCGGGTGACCAAAACATACGGCCGCAGGTCAGATGATACGACTACAAAATCTATCATCGACCTGTGACCTAGGCTGCCCTGGTACCAAGTGTACCGGTGGGCATCCTTATGTTCGAACATGGTGTTCGTTATGGCCAAACTGCGGCTTGCACAGAAGTCCAATAACAAAACACCGCTCGAGTTCAGATTAGGTGGGCCGTTCCTCCCAATCACACCCCTCCAGGTCAAGCTGTCATTGCCCACGTGAGCATTGAAGTCCCCCAGCAGGACAATGGAGTCCCCTGATGGAGCACTATCTAGCACTCGTCCCAGGGACTCCAAAAAGGGTGGGTACTCTGAACTGATATTTGGCCCATAAGCACAAACAACAGTCAGGACCCGTTCCCCGACCCGAAGGCGCAAGGAAGCTACCCTCTTGTCCCCCGGGGTAAACCCCAACACACAGGCAGAGAGTCTTGGGGCTAACAAAAAGCCAACCCCAGCCCTCCGCCTCTCACCCGGAGCAACTCCAGCAAAGTAGAGTGTCCAACCCCTCTCCAGGTCTCGGGTTCCAGAGCCAATGCAATGTGTCGAGGTGAGTCCGACTATATCTAGCCGGTACCGCTCAACCTCTGCCACAAGCTCCGGCTCCTTCCCCGCCAGCGAGGTGACGTTCCATGTCCCAAAAACTAGTTTTCTTGTCCGGGGATTGGACCGCCAAGGCTCCCGCCTTGGTCTGCCACCCGATTCGCATTGCACCGGACCCTTCATGTTCCTCCTGCGGGTGGTGGGTCCACAGTTGGACGAGCCCATGTATCCGGTTCGGGCTGGGCCCGGCCGGGCCCCATGGGCGAAAGCCCGGCCACCAGGCGCTCGCTCACGGGCCCCAACCCCAGGCCTGGCTCCAGGGTGGGACCCCGGTAACCCTCCGGGCCGGGTACTCCGACTCTTCGTTTTAACCGCCATGAAAGATCCTTCGAACCGTTCTTTGTCTCACCCTTCACCTAAGACCAATTTGTCATGGGAGACCCTACCTGGGGCACTAAGTGCCCCAGACAACATAGCTCCTAGGATCATTAGGGCACTCAAACTCCTCCACCACGATAAGGTGACGGTTCAAGGAGGAGCATAGTCACATAGTCAAATAGAAAAAGTGAGCCAGCTGCGAAGGCCGAGAGCTCCAGCAGAGTTCAGGCCTAAGAAATGGGCCTGTCTGATTTTAGATGACGTGGTTTTGGTCATCGTAACTGTTTCACAAAATTATCTTTAACATGACATAAAAAGCATCACTCTGCAGGACACACCAGAGCGTATATTATCTTCGTTCACGTTACCAGAAGTTTCTGTTGTTAAAGAGCGTCACCCCCTACCAGAGTCTTACTCCTCTCCCACTTCCTGTTTGAAAAATGCAACAAATGCTGTTGCCTAGCAGGCCGAGAGGGTGGAGCCGCTAACAAATACACACACACACACACACACACACACAGGCTCACAACGACATTGTGACATCATATGGTACCAGCTAACGTTCTAGGGTACCTCTTAGCCAATAGCGATGGCAGATTTAAATTCAAATGCAGTGCAGAGTTTTTACCTGACAACAGCACAACACTGACAGTTTCAGGCAGAACATTTAAATTTTAACTAAAATGCACTAAAGTGCAAAACTATTGACTACACGTGTCTGCAGCACGATTAGACACGCATTTATATAGTTTATCAGGAAAATAAGTTGATTTGGGGGTGACTTGTAGCCTGGCAAGCCAGACTAAATGAATGTATTATTTAGTCTGGCCACGCTCCATTGACGGCTCTCGGTTGTGGGGCGGGTTCTACCGTTGTCTTTCAAATGATCTCCGCATTCCACTGGACAATGAATGTGACATACTCTTGTTTCACTCTGTTGCATCATCCCACCCACCAGGCATATAGAGTGCCCTGATTGGCCCACAAAGCGGATAAAGCTCTGTGATTTGTTCACTAAGCAGATAGAGCACTATGATTGGCCCACCATTATGGACCAATCACAGCTCTTTATGTGTTTGAAACCCCTCTAGAGAGCTGTGATTGGCTAGCCAGAGTCCTGGTAGGAGCTGCGGAGGTTCCAATGGAGCGTGCCTAGACCAAACTTTGCAAAGCAAGAATTTGGTCTAGTTCACTAGGCTAGGTGACTTGCTCTTTAAAGACCAAGTTCACTGAGTGACAATTTTCACTTATTTTTGAAATATGATCGGTCGTTCTGAGTTTCACACGCAGGCTGGACATAAATAGTCTTTCACCCCTATTTCCTGCATTGGCAGCCGATAGAAAACAGACGAGGAAATGTTCGAGTCAGATCTACGTCACACTGAAAAATAGCATTAATGGACCGTTTACGCTCGCGACAGGGAAGGCTGCTGTTGATTTAGCATCCATGAGAGAGCAGAGCACATCTCAGCTAGTAGAAGCTAACTGTTAGTGTCAGCAACTCCACAACATGGCAGAACTCCTCTAGGTTCATGTTATTTGTGAGCAAACAGAGTCGGTGGTAGAGTCGTGTTGCTGTTAGCCAATCAGAGACAACATGTCAGAATAAGATTAACAATAATGAGTGAGAGTCCAAATCCTGCTGTCCTCTGCTCACCTCTCCTTCGGTTAATATCTACTTCCTGAAACATGAGCACCAGAGCTTTTTTTCCCACAGAAATAGACTCACACTTAAACTAGAGACCACTGCAGATGTGATAAAAAATGACTGAATATGTTATTTAATGAATAATCTCATTAATGTGAAGTCCGACTACAAACAGGGAAGGTTTTCAGTTTTCTAAAACAGCATCCAATAACATAATAGAATAGAAAATACTTTATTGATCCCACAGTGGGGAAATTCACTCGTTAAGGCAGCACCTGCACTTAGAGAACAATACACAAGGGCATTAGGCTTTTACCGTAACCTTCAGCACTCCAAAAAATGAATAAAAATAGAGTAAAAATAGAAAAACTAAGTTTTCATGAAAAAACTGCATAAAAGACACAGACGTACAAATGTGCGCCCAGCTTTGATGTGATCGTGTAACAGGATTGTGACAGAAGTGAAGCTGTGGAGTTACACCATCTAACCCCTGCTGCACACTGGAAGCAAAAGCGGCACCGCTTCAAATAGAATCCATTAAAGTCGATGGAGAGTAAAAAAAAACTGCAGCAAAGTGGCGATTTTCAGAAGGTCCAGAAGTGGCGCGCCGCTAAAGATAAGATCGGGTTTCATATTCTCCGCCAGCCGCTTCTGGGATCCATTAAGGACTGCAATTGACATAAGGCTAGACAGGAAATCACACACAGTTTCAAATCCCCAGTAATTTTCAAAATAAAAGTATTGCAGTGATGCGATTTCATGTACATATTGTCATGTTCTGGTCTAGTTTCCTGACCCAGGACATTCAGAATCCTACATGGAGACTGGATGAAAGTAATAAACAATATTTGGTGACGCTTCCTTTTACAGTCCCCTAATTACTAAGTACTTACATGGTAATTACATAGTAAGTTAGAGTGTATTTTCGTGTAATTAAAGTGTATAATTGGAATAAAGTGTATTGTTATTGTGTGAAGCAGTATTTACTGGGAATGAATAATAAAAATAAAAACTAGAATTGAACCTGTGTTACATGGTAATAACTGTTTAAGAACTCAGAAACAACAATACACTTTAACTTACTATGTAATTACCATGTAAGTACTTAGTAATTAGGGGACTGTAAAGGGAAGCGTTACCCAACATTTATTAGAAAAGGGTAACTGAAGGAGCGCCGTCAACATGAGGCGAGGGTCCGAGTGAGGTTGAAGTGTGGAAGTTAGTTAGGGGATTAGTGGATGACTAGGGTGGTCAGGCCTGAGGTGAGGGTCGGGCTCGAGAGGCGAATCCAGGTGAGCGAGGGTGAGTCGCTGAGAGCGGGTCGGTCAGGTTGAGTGGGGAGACGTGGTCCAGTGAGATGATCCGTGGTTAATGGCTGATGAGGCGGTGATGGCGAGGATACCTAAAGACGGGGAACAGGAATTATAAATATGCAAAAGCTCAAGACAAGTGTGAAGCTTTCTAAAACTCGAGAGTTGGCTTTGTGATCTCAGGTTGGAGTGTACCAAAGTGAGCAATCATCCGGCGAAGTGAGCAATCATCCGGCGAGGTGATGTCGTCTCCCTGCTCCTTTTATACACCAGCTGGTAGATGACAGATTGGCTGCAGCTGCCCGCTCCTCAGTGCCACTCACCTGCAATTAAGCACTCAGAGGTCATGACTGAACCACTCACCTCAGACCATGACACATATATGAAGCTTACAGGTGATTTAACAGCGTATTTACTCACAGCATCGTTCCACTAGTGCAGCGGTGTCAAACAACGATATCCAACGTGATTTACTTCTTTTTGATTTAATGGCAGATTGCATAAACACACTGTAGTCTTTGAAGTCTCGAGGCATCGTGTGATCTCGCGAGTCGAGCGAGGAGCAAGGCAGAGAAGCCGCTTTGCGTCTGAGACTCCCCCGGTGTGCACTTCAGTGCAGTGGTTGTCGCGAGTAAATCGTTCCGCTGCCGTTCAGCAACGCTTTTGCTTCCAGTGTGCAGTAGCGTTAGTGCAGTGGGCGTGAATGACCTACGGCAGCGTTCTGTTTTGCATCTTGGGTGTCTCAGTCTGTCGCTAAAGGAGCTGTCCATGGCCTCAACAGTGGAATGCAGTGCGTGGTCTAAAATCATCAGAGATCACCTTTTAAAGAGACTGCTGATGCTAATTAACACCAATGGGAGGCAGAGTTGAGCTGTTAAGTGGAGATTAGACAAGACTATAATTAGATTTATCACACTAGAATCAATGTAAACCACCAGAGGAGACCAAGAGAGAGTGCTCATGCTGAGTGGCATTTAAAGAGCAAGTCACCCCCAAATCAACTTTATTTTCCTGATAAACTACATAAATGTGTGTCCAATCGTGCTGCAGACACGTGCAGTTAATAGTTTTGCACTTTAGTGCATTTTACTTATAATTTTAATGTTCTGCCTAAAACTGTCAGTGTTGTGCCGTTGTCAGGTAAAAACTCTGCACTGCATTTGAATTTAAATCTGCCATCGCTACTGGCTAAGAGGTACCCTAGAACGTTAGCTGGTACCATATGATGTCACAATGTCGTTATGAGCCTGTGTGTGTGTGTGTATTTGTTAGCGGCTCCGCCCTCTCGGTCTGCTAGGCAACAGCATTTGTTGCATTTTTCAAACAGGAAGTGGGAGCGGAGTAATACTCTGATAGGGGGTGACTTGCTCTTTAACAAACAAAACCATTTTTACATCACATAAAAAGTAGGTGTCACAAATACATCAGGGTGTTTCAATCTGAGCTCTGTTTGTCTGAAATAAAACGGATTATCTCCCCAGCCCTACTCAGAAGGAATGCACACGACCTACTTCCACTGCAGTTTACTCAGATAAGGCGAAAAGAGATCGGCTGGAATTATGTTTCATTAAAATAAACAAAAAGAAGTTGAACTGGAAACAATGCCAGTTTTTAGCACAGCGTTTTTGGGAAACTAATGCTTTTGTGTCTTTTTAACGTTGATGTAATCTGGCAAACATGAAAGGAAAAACACAGATTTGGAGTCAGACAAACGGTTGGCGGTCTGCTGAAGATGGTCATGTTTTTAGCTATGTGTCGTTTTTGGCTTCATTTCTCATGTATGAATGTTTATATGGTGTTAGCTTATTACTGAGGCTTGGTGGTTTTTTAAAAAGAACAATATCACACCATCAACTGGCTCCCAGTAGGCCACACGATTCAATTATGACCTTCAGTAATAAATATGAGAAGTAAACTGTTCTGCTGCAGACGGATGACATTTCACTGTCCAACCTAAAACTTGGAATTTGTTTGTTTTGTGAAGTTCTATGAAGACTTTTAAGATTTTAGAAATTCATGAAATTATTCCAATCAGTAAACTAAAAGTATTTTGATTTGAGCGCATTCGAGGACTCGCCCTGACGATTCTACTGCAGCGTCTCAAACCTCCGTGTACTGCGTGGTGACGCTAATGACCAGCTACAGCAAAGCCACTGGTATGCAGCTGGATGCAGTGCTGCGGGCCCGGTTTAGCGGCTAGCCCGTGTTTTCTGGGCTCTGAGACCTGCCCGTGCACGGCTATCATTACAGACGACCCAGAGCTTGGAAACTTGGGAGACCGGCCCAACGGACCGCAGCATTCTCCAGGGAGGTATAAAAAACAGCAGCAGCTTAATGACCTCCCGCTCTCGGAGTCTCTGGCACTCATCCAGGCTAACCCAGACCACAACAATGATTATCAAGGCTGATTTTGGTTCTGGTTGATTTGTCTACTAGACTTTGTACAACCTATCCAGTCAGGTCCTCGTAATGTGAAAGCATTATCGTTCATGTCAGCAACAAACTTTTCCTGTAACTTCCTTCCATCATCTTTAATTGTCCCGTTTTGTTGCCCCTCTTGTTGTCAGAGGTGAATCAGGAGCTGGCAAGACGGAGAACACAAAGAAGGTCATCCAGTATCTGGCCCATGTTGCCTCCTCACACAAAGGACGCAAGGACCACAACATTCCTGTGAGTCCCAATGCCTCCGCTTTACCGACTCTGTCATTTTTCCCTCTGAAGGTCATTCCCTCTGAAGTGTCAGTAGCCACGTGACTGACCTCTTTGTATTATTGTTACACTGAAGAGATGCACAAATAGACAGCTCTGTTGGCCAGCTAGAGGTGAGGTTCATGAACGAGGAGCGTTGCTTCCGGCTGTAATCAAAAACGTAGGGGGAGGATCTTAAGGTGAGGTACATTTTTCTGCCTCGAGATGGTGCGCTCCGACAAAAAACACTCCAGATTTCTGCTTTAGGCCTGGAATATACTTGCTTTTTAACTCATTCACTGCCAATTGCATGTTTTTACTGTGTGGGCGTCGGACGAGCCCCCACACCGTGAGAAATCTGCATACGTCACACGTCACGTGATCAGGAAGCAGAACATCCATGTGTTAGGAGATCGTTTTGGGCCGCCGCTGTAAAAAAAGTGAGGCGCGAACCAGAAAAGCTTCTGCCCATCACAATTCAACAACGGATTATAAAAGAACGGATAACGCTCGAAACGCGCGGATTCTTCCTGATGTAAGAGGTGAGTCTCCGCTTTGTTTTGGTTGATTTGGCGTCGACATCATCCTAGCGAGCAACGTTCTGTGACTCTTAAAAAAACAGTAAAAGCAGTGAGAAACGCTGGCAGCGAATGAGTTAACAGCGC